TTATAGTTATAATCTTGCATGGAGACAGGCTATGAACTTTCCCAATTTTTAGATGAGGGTGACTCATAATTGAGTTGACAGTGGTTGCTGTCAATTTTAGGTAGCATTCTGCTGCTCCATTCTTCCTACAGCAAAAGAAACTAGGAAGACTGGCGTGTGTGTGTGTGTGTGTGTGTGTGTGTGTGTGTGTGTGTGTGTGTGTTTCCTCTCAGTGATCCTAACCATTTACACAATGAATGTGGTCATAACCAATCATATGCAAGAATTTGTTGTGACATTGTTCTTTTCTCTGTCAATGAATATAGGTTTAAAAAGTAGGCATGGGATTACATGGAACTTCAGTGACAGAAACAAGCTTTCCATGTTTTTTTTTTTTAAATCATTTGTTCATTTATTCATTCCTGGTTAGCAACTCTAGACTCTTAGCATTACAAAGGATTAATCCTCAGACATCTGGCTGCTGATTGATACTTGAATCAATGCTGTCATTTTCACCAGCATAAAAACAATTTATTGAGATCTCAGGGCTAAGCCAAGAAATAGGAGTCCAAGACATTGTTGGAGCAAGACACAATCTCTACCCCTAGGTGTCTTATTACTTAGTTGGGAAGGCAGATCATGACCAAGAGGTGGTTTACTTAACTCACTAGACTCTTAGTCCCTAAGGGACAAGGACTGAACATACAGAATGGTTAAGAAAATGAGTTTTATAGTGAGACAAAATTGGGTTGAGTTCCAGCTCTGCCATTTCCCAGCTGTGTGACCTTGAAAATGTTACCACATCTGATGGAGTTTAATTCCCCACTTGTGGCATGGGGCTAATAAATTGTCCCCATCCTACAGAGGAGTTAGATTCAGTGAGACAGTGTGTGCAAAAGGCACTTTGCATTGCGCCTAAACACTCGATACATACACATTAAGTGTGTTGAAGGAATAAGTGACCTTTGCTTCCCAGATCGTGACTGCCTAGGAACAGGCAACTGGGATGAGTGTTATCATGCTACTAGATCTGACCCTGTATTATCACTGAGATGTCCTTTATTTCACACATTCCTGCTCTATCTCCCCCTTATCTGAGACTGGTCCCAGCTCTTTCTCTGGGTTCAGCTGCTTTATACTGCCCTCGTTGTTATTGTTGCACATTAATACTCTTTTCTTGAGGAATTTAGGAGAAATTCCTTCTCTCTGTCCCCTGGGATGCTCCTCTGATCTACTCCCAAGCCAGAGGGCTCCCGGCGGTGTAGTGGCTCACACCTATAATCCTAGCACTTTGGGAGGCAGAGATGAGAGGATTGCCTGAGCTCAGGAGTTTGAGACCAGCCTGAGCAACATGGCAAGACCTTGTCTCTACAATAAATCAAAAATTAGCTGGGTATGGTGGCTCACACTTATGATTCCAGCTACTTGGAAGGCTGAGGTGGAAGGATCACCTGAGTCCAGCAGGTCGAGGCTACGGTGGCTGTGAGAGTACCACTGCTAGAAGCCAGAAGGCAACAGAGCTCAGATAATATGGTCCCTGAAAGTCAGTCTCCTGTATAAGTCAGCCTCCCAGGATACAGAGCAGAAAAATGGAGAATGCATCTAGAAGGCAAAGGAGAACACCCAGTGCAGGAGCAGTGAAGCTGGAGCCAGGCCTTGGCATCCAGGTAGGATTTAGGTAGCAGAGAGGAATGGTGAAGGCATCCCTGCAGGTAGTGATTGGGGCAGTTGTAGAGGGAAGCAGAGAGCATTTGCATTAGAACTGTGTAACTGACATGAGTGGAGGTGGGGACTGACATATTTTGATAGAATACAAGGGAAGGTTTGAGGGAAGAGGCTGGAGGAATTTAGGAAGGAAGTCCCTGAATATGCCAGTGTGTTGTTTAAGCAGGGAGTCTTAGGATGTTATTGAAGGAGTTAGAGTGGTGAGGTGTTCAAAAGAGCATACATAGCGAAAAAGTAGACTTCTCATTCCACATGTGAATAAGGGAGGAAGTTCATGTTTACACGTTATATGATCAGAATATAAGCTGATTTAGTAGGTGTAGGAGCCAAATGGCCCATAGTATTTTGTTCTCTAACTTGGTTTTATCATCACAACTCTTGCAATTTATGGATAATTCCTCCACAAAGTCTTAAGATCATGTCACTAGATTAAGCCCATCCAGGGCAATCCCAAAGATGACTTAAACATATGTTTTTAAGTGTGGAACTCATGGACAGTCCCCACATCCCTCATTGGTATCACCTGGGATGATGGTTAAAATGCCTATCGGAGCCTATCCCAGACCAACTGAATATTTCTCTGTTGTGAAGCACAGGCATCTGCATTTTTAGCAAGGACCAAGTTGCTTCTAATACAAACAGAATGTTAAGAACTGCTGATTTAAGGAGACATCGCTAGTTTCCTGTAGCGACTGTCAAGACAGGGGCTTACTTCCATCAGAGGCTGATAAATGGGCATCTAATAAAGATCTAAGCCCGGTAGTTTCCAGCTTAGAATCATGTTAGAATCATCTGGGAACTTTAAAAACATCCTGCTGCTGGGAGAGGGGGTTCTTTTTATTGTTTCTTATTCTGATTTAGTAGACCTGGGTGAAGCCTGAGGGAATTTTTTTTTTTAACTTCCAGGGAATTGTGATGTACAGCCAGTCCTAAGATCTTGTCTGAACTCAGAAGGTGGAAAAAAGGAGACATGCAGACGTCTCAGATTAACAGACTTTTCTGAATCCTGTACCACATAGTCAATGCTAAGAATAATTGCTCTGGAAAATAAGTTTCTGTGAGTAAGGAGGAAAGAAACCAAAGAAGACCAAGGGTGATGTAACCTGAGAAGGAACTGCAGTCTGGAATGGTCTTAAAGAATCAGCATATTTTCTTAGGCTCTTAGAAGGAGTCTGAAACTCAGAGCCAGAGGGTCCCTGGGGAGTCTGTGTCCTAGAGGCCAACCACTGGCCTCCATGAAGGACTTTCTTACCTGCATTTATTGCCAGTTTAGAGTTGGTGCATTTTTAAAATTCCCCCTTTTATTTTTTTCAAGTTTTCAAGAAAAAAAAAACAGTCTGAAATGGAATTGGAACACTCTTTCTTTCTTTCTTCCCTTCTACCATCTTCTGACTTAGGAGGAGAGAACTCTTTAGCCATGTGTCTTTGTATCCATACACTTCATGGACACCTATGGGGTTGTGCACAGCACAGGCCAGTGATGGAAATGCCACCTCCTTCCCATAGGCAGGAAGATGTGTGAGTGTCACTGAGAGTACAGGGGGAGGGTGATTCTCTGGAAGGAAGGCAGTGGAGAGAACCAGAAAGCCCTGCTCAGTGCGGAAGGTATGTTCAGGAAATGAAAAGCTCTGCATTTCTCTTGAAAGAAAAGAAGGAAGGAAAAAAATAAGATAGGAAAAGAAGGAAGGCAGGAAGGAAGGAGGGAAGGAAGGGCGAAGAAAGATAAATGAGCATCCTTCTAGTTTTTCTAAAGCTGTGTCTATTCCCAAGAGGATAAAGAATATTTTAGATGCCAAGCAGGGAGAATTTTTTTCTTCTTAAATGAGTGGGTCAGAACTTTGTTTCTTTCTTTCCTGAGAGCTGAAAGACCTCATGGTCTACTCCTCCTCAAATGTCCTTAATCTACTGTTGTGGCCCCACCAGCCTCTGTTTTCCTCTCTGGGTATTTTACACAGTGAGTTCTCCCAGAACTCAACCCAAGCCTCAGATCTAATCTACTGCATGTGGCAAAGCAGAGGACCTGTAGGTACTGTGTAGCTCTGATAAGATTATCTGATGTTCCCATCATCAGCTGCACTCATGATTCCTTGTAAGGAAGGCTGCTGCCACCCACCAAGTGATGGCAGCAGCAGTGATGGCATCTCTTTTATAGCCCAGTGTATATGTGTGTGCCTGTATCATAGTTCACACAGCAGAAACAAAATTGGAACACCCACTATTCAGCTCATCCTATTTGTTAACTCTTGTTGAAAAATAAACCAAACCCCAAAGGAAATAGCCTGTTTTTCCCCATGGAGTTAGATAGATGCTCACTAGGTCTCCTGACCATGGGATCTTGTCTGAATCAACTTCTGCATATGCTTATCTAGCCCCAGCTTCAAATTCCCAGGGGAGGGAAACTCCACCCTCTCTATGGGGAATCATTGCAGAGTTGAACAACTCATTTGACAGTCCTTTGTTAGGACCACCATTTTCATGTGGCAGATCTCTGAGCAGAACTACACCCAGTTTTCTTTGGAGCTTTGTCTGCAAATTAGAGGAAATCTTGTGTGCATCAGAAGATTGCTATGAAGTTCAAATTAGATTATTCTTTCACGGTGGCTCATGCCTTTGTAATCCCAGTACATTGGGAGGTCAGTGTGGTTGGATTGCCTGAGCTCAGGAGTTTGAGACCAGCCTGGGCAACATAGTGGAACCTCATCTCTACAAAAAATAAGAACAATTAGCTGGATGTGGTGGCACACACCTGTTGGCTCAGCTACTTGGGGTGTTGAGGTGGAAGAATTGCTGGTGCACAGGAGGTCGAGGCTGCCATGAGCGATGATCACTGTGATCATGTCACTACTCTCCAGCCTGGGCCACAGAGTAAGACCCTGAGGCGAGAGAGAGAGAAAGAGAGAGAGAGAGACAGAGAGATTATTCTTTCAATAAGTACCAGTTGCTTCCTGGTGTGAGGGGCCATTGTGCTAGGTGTGGGAACACAGAGATAATTGGGCACTGGCCTTGACCCTTCAATTTAGTGTTTCAGATGGATGGATAAACATATAGTCTCAGTGCAGTGGCAAATTCCTCTGCTTTGTCCTTGGTGGCCAGCCTGCCGGCCTCAACTGCCCACTTATGTCCCAAAGTTCCTGGGTGCTGTCTCCACTCATACTAGCCCATCCTCAGCAGGGCCACACCTGGCCCAGCACCTTCGAGCTACCGTCATGCTGCTCCTCCCCAGCCTCTGCCCTCTCCTTGTGACCCCTCAACCTGTCTTGCTCTCTACCTGTACCTGCACCCCTTGGTCTCTGTAGATCAGCAGCGCCTTTTTTTTTGAAAGTGTACAAACTTTATTGGAGCATGTGCACCTCCCCCGTAGGAGGGAAGAACACCGGGCCATGCGGCCCAGGAACGGGGAAGAGCTGGCAGCATGGAACGTGACTCAATCAGCAGTGCCTTTAGCCATCACCTGCAACCCTTAGCCTCTACACACCTGGACTCTGAGGTCAGGTACTACAATCTGTTTTGCAGTGACAAGGCTTCTGTACTCCACAGCCACCACACCTAGGCCAGTTCTTTCTTTGCTCCTGTCCCTAGACTGCACATCCTTGCCAGTACAGTAAGTGCAAAAACTCAAACCCTGGCCTCAGCAGAGCTGGCCCTGCCCCATTAACTTGTCTGGATTCCACGGGGCCTTCCTTTCTTTTCAACCTTTCTTCCCTCTTTCCTGGCACAGTAACCTCAGGAGGCTGAAAACCTTTGCGACTCTTCCCATACTCTGGGCTTCTTCTCTAGCCAGAGAAGCAGACCACGACTTCCTTGAGAACCCTCCATTCCCAGCCCCTCCTTTGCCCCCTCTCTTCCCTTCCTGCATTCACAGAAGAGGTTCCCCTCAGCCTAGGCAGACGTGCCCCCATGTGCCCCCAATGCCATCCCTTTGCTCCTCTCTCCCGCTTTTTCCATGGCTGCCATCATGATCACCAGAGTACTAGTTAGCAGACACTACCAAGGACCTCCCGTTATAACTAAGGTAGACAAGAAGTACGAGAGATGATCCCAACTCCCAGAGGTCTACAGTCTAAAAAGGCAAGTGACAAACACACGGGAACCCCTTGCTCGGACACATTCAGATCCCCCTTCTCTGATAACTCCTTTTTTTTTTTTTTTTTTTTGAGTTGGAGTCTCACTCTGTCGCCCAGACTGGCGTGCCTTTGTATAGAAATCTTGCTAACAGCCGGGCCTGGTGGCTCAGCCTGTAATCCTGCGCCTTTGGGAGGCTGAGGTGCGTGGATTGCCTGAGCCTGCGGGTTCGAGACCCGCCTGGGCAGAGAGACCTCATCTCTACAATAAATCAAAAGATTAGCTGGGCGTGGTAGCACGTACCTGTAATTCCGGCTACTCGGAAGGCTGAGGTGGAAGGATCGCCGGATCCCAGCAGGTCGAGGCTGCGGTGGCCGGGAGCGGCCACTGCCCTCCAGTCTGGGCGACAGAGTGAGACTCTAACTCAAAAAAAAAAAAAAGAAAAGAAAAAGAAAAAAAAAAGAAATCTCGCTAAGGCTTGACTGACCTTTCTATTTCACTAAATCTATCAAAAATCTTGCACATCCTTCAAGTTCCAATTCAAGTCTAGTCTGTTTTCTCCAAGAGTTTTTCCTGACTGCACCCACTGTGCCCTTCCTTCGTCTAAATTTCTGTTGCTCTTTTTATTTCTACCATTTATTTAGCAACTGATATAAATTGCATGACGCTGTTGTTTTCCTCTCAATTTTCTGTTTAACTTTGTATGTGTCTGTGTCTTATTTCCATAAATATATAATGACTTTCTTTTATGTTTTTGATTTTGAAAAAAATTTTTATTTTAAATAGATGGGGTACAATTTAGGGTTAGGTATACAAATTTTCATTATGCAGGTACCCTTGTTGATGGGGTGTACCCTCCTCTGCCCTGGCAGTTTCTCACTACTTTCAATCCCTTTCTTAAAGTATTATGATCGTTGTTCAAGGTCTGCTTATGAGTGAGAAAATGTGATATTCGGTTCTTTGTTTCTGTGATAGATCACTCAGTATTATACACTCTAAGTCCATCCAAGATGCAGTAAAGTTCATAATTTTATCCTTCTTTATGGCTGCATAATATTCCAGGGTGTATATGCCCCCATGTGCCCCCAATGCCATCCCTTTAAAATCCAGTTCTCTTTTGATGGGCAGCATGGTTGGTTCTATGTTTTTGCTATTGTGAATAATGCTGCATAAACATGCATGTGCAGGTATCTTTTTCATAGAGTGATTTGAGTCCCTCCGGGTATATTTCCAGTAGGGGGGTTGCGGGGTCATATGGGAGGTCAATTTTTAGATTTTTTAGGAATTACCATACTGTTTTCCACAGAGGTGGTACTAATTTATACTCCCACCAACAGTGTAGGAGCGTTCCCTTTTCACCACAGATGAAGACTTTCTTGATGGAAAGGCCTATTCTGAGGCATATAAAACAGTGATTTAAGAACATCAGCTATAGGGTTGGATTTCCTGGGTTAACACCCTGTTCCACCACCTACTGGCTGTGTGACCTTGAGCAAGTTACTAAATCTTGATATGTCTCAGTTTCCTCACCTGTCAAAAGACGATAATAATAGTACATAGTTGTTGTGAGTTTATATAAGGGAATAGTTGGCTCAGCCCCTTTCTGACTTAATACATCTGAAGCTCTTAGAGCAGTGTTTGGCATACAGTACTCAATAAATGTTGGCAGTTGTTGTTATTGTCAGTTCCAAGGTTTCCTCCTACAGTGCTAGTTGCACATAACATAGGCTTAGCAAATATTGTTGAATGGGCAAATATTTCCTCTCCAATACTCCTTTTCAATTTTTCATTTTTTTTCCTTACATGTGCGTTATCACGAACGTTTAAAGTTTCCCTTCATTTAATTCTGAAGCAAAAAATGAAGCCCCATGGATGTAAATAGTTTTTACTGTCTAGTATAAAGAAACAGACCAGCTCATCAAAAGAAACAATTTTCTGGTACTGAATTTGAAAAGGAATTTAATATAAGATTATTTGTGGGGCAGGAGGCTAATGGAGTGAGGAGAGCTAATTCTTCTAAAACCTACTTAACATGTTGAGATTAGAAAAAAATTTTTCTTCCATTAAATACAGGAACTGCCTCAAATGACTTCAGCAGCCCATGGGACTGTGTTGGCTGGGAGGTGGATTAGACAGAGAGAGCTTTGTATGTTCCCTACATCTAGAGAATCCACTGGGAAACCAAGGAGTAAGATTGATGGTGTGAACAAAAGGACAGGTGCAATCCAGAAACTGTAATCTGAAATAACCTCTTACATTATAGGTATATTTTTGTCTTTAGGAAGTGATGTTGTCAGTAATTTAGTGTAATTGTAATAACTAGATCATTAAACTATGTCTGTAGAGAGCATAGAAAAAATACATTTGCTTTTTAAGTGACAGTATATCAAACAATATACTAAGACTGTTTTAGTCAAACAGTATTCCTGTTTTTAATATAGTTTCCCATAGATGGGGTAGGTATTTTAGGTACACACACACACACACACACACACACACACACACACACACACACACTTTGGCATTCTTTCAGAAATGAGAGTCTACCAAGACATACTTGGTTGTTTTGTGGAGTTAAGTGAGTATAACAATGATGGGGAGCTGGTATACTGATTTTATTTAGATTTTTCAGATGATTCTTCAACAAAGGCCATTAAAACATTCATTGTCTTGGGAACGGAAGCAAGTTTTGACATAGGTTAAACTGGTCTTACAACAAGAAGCAAGTTAGTGTAATGGGCATTTCTCTAAGTGGAGACGTTAGCAGAGCATTAAAAAGGTCCTGGGATTTAATATATTCTTATGAATGATATGGTAAAAGTGACTTCATAAGAACGTCCAATTGTTTTGGTGACTGCAAGTTGCAAAATACAAAATCAGCAGAACTAAATTGCAGGAAGACAGAAATACCTACATGAACAGACAAAAGAGTTATGGGAAACAGGAAATGCAAAGGAAATAGTAAGAAAACAGATTGTTTACAAAGTGGCCAATGTGACTTGGGGAAAGGACGGGAGTCTTTGTAGCCTACTCTCAGTGAGGGGCTTTAACCTGCAAGTTTCTTGGTACCATCCGTAAAGGTGTTGAAAAATACTGACTACTCTTCTTATACCAAACACCACTTATTCAGGAGGTAGTAGAAGTGTGTGTGTGTGTGTGTGTGTGTGTGTGTAGAGAGAGAGATTTATGCAAAGTAGATAACTCTGAGGATAATAAATCTATAATGAGTTATAAAAGAAAACAAGCATGCTTTGGGATAAACTTTTTAAGTCTGAGACAATGGAGAAAATATCTAGTCAAGTGTCTGAGCAAATGTGGAATTTCTCTCCTTCCATTACAAAAACATAGAACTATATATTGAATTTATATTTTAGCAAAAAAAAGTCAGAAAGGGAAATTTTCAGGTACCAGAAATATATAAGAAATCAATAGCTAAATCTATGGGTAGGAGGCCACAAGGATCCTAGGGACTAGGACTCTTAACATGCCTGGGGACAGGAGCCAAAGTCACCCACACTGTTCATGATGTGGAACTGAAATGAGGCTCACTGAGAAAAGCTGGGAGCTGGGAAAGCACTGTAGCATTGGTGGGCCCGGCAGTTAACTCAGCCTGCAAACTGTTATAGGAAGCAGCTACCCATACCACGTCATGAATGGAAACAGTCACCGTCTGTCACTCAGGCTGGAGTGCAGTGGCACAATCATGGTTCACCATAGCCTCCATCTCTTGGGCTCAGGCAATCCTTCTGCTTCAGCCTCCCAAGTAGCTGGGACTACAGGCATGTGCCACCATGCCTGGCTAATTGTTTTATGTATGTATGTATGTATGTATGTATGTATGTACGTACGTATGCATGTGTGTGTGTGTATTTGTTATTAATTTATTTGTGGAGATGAGGTCTCACTATGTTGCCCACGTTGGTCTTGAACTCCAGGCTTAGGCAATCCTCCTGCCTTGGTCTTCCAAGGTGTTGGGAGCCGGCCATGGAGGCTCACTGAGCGTTAGGGATCAGGAAGGGCCGTTGACCCCGAGACCACTAGGATGCGTTCGGGAGCTATTGACCCCATTTCCTCCCCGTTTCTACTCAGCACTAACCAGATTAAGCTCCTGTGAGCTCAAAACATAAAAACTCTGAGACTGGGACGAACACAAGCTAACTTTAGAAGCTCATTGCTCCCATTCTTCCATAAACTGCCATTTTGGCTTTCACACAACTTATAATTCAAACTTGTGTCACATCTAAGAGCTTTAGTATTGGTCATAGGCTTCTGGGTCATGATCTTAGGATTTATTGAAGGTATAAATTGTGGAATACAGTTTAGAAGACAGCCATTTTGTTGAAAGAATGCAGCTGGGTCACTTGCAGGTAGCCCACTGTGAACTTTGAACTGGGCCACATTC